TGTTATTGTTAATTCTTTAGTTTATTTCTACTTTTCTTGCTTAGTTAATGTTTTCTTTTTTGTTGTTTTTATTGAAATAGCATAAAGATCTTCCATATAATTAATATTAATATGCAATCAATACTTACAGGGTTATTATAAGAAAGCCTAATATTTAAAATTATTTTATCTTTAAATAACTTTACTGGTGCATTTTGTTTTATTGAAACTCAGGAAGCTCTTCTATATCATTAATATTAAGATTCAGTAAATACATATAGGGGATTATAATAAGAATATTATATTTAAAATTATTGTATCTTAAAAATTACTTGTCTTGGGGGGGGGGGGAGAATTTTCACCAGAGGTACAGTGAAAATTGTGTTGTATTCAGAAATTTTAGACATGGTACAAGCTATTTCAAGATCATGTAATACACCTAGAGTACTTTTTTTGCAAACTAGCATTACTTTTAGATCTGTTATTTTTTTCTTTCATCAATAAGTATTTGGTTATTTTATCAAAATGTATATCAGTGTAAGGATATTTTAAGATTCAACAAACAATAAAACAAACGTTTTTAGATGGCTTGACTTGGTAATGAAAATACCTTATTATGAATGTACAATATTTTGACAAGATTTTGTCATCCTCAGGTACAAAATCTTGTCAAAATGTCATACTTACATTCATAATAAGGTATTTTCATTACCCAGTCAAGCCTTATCAAAACTTAGTTTGTGAGCCTTGGGTTCCTCATTATCAAGTTTTAAAACACTAAAACAGATGATGCTTACAGAAACTTCATATAATTATTTTAAATATAGTGTTTTTTCTATAATCACTCTATTTTACACTGTTCAAATTTTGTCTAAGTTGTACGCACTATTTTTTCATTCTATAATTTGTATACCTTTTTCTTGTTTTTAAATTATTTTTTACTGTTTGTTGTGTGATTTGTGTATAGTTATGCCTTCTTTTATAACGTTTTCAGTCTTCTTTTCTTAACCATTTATTTTTGTATTATATCATGGCAGAGCTTTCTTAGTTAATAAATTGTATGTAACAGAAAATATTTTGCAGCTTATGAATTGTTATATAAAGGTGAGTAATTATAGAATATAAATTCATTTGTAGTGCTTTTGTTTTGATGAAACACAGACAAAAAATTATATACATAAACATTAACGTGTATGTTTCAAAAAATAATGTTAATTTCTTTTTCAGGCACATTTTGTTACTATATTAAGAATAAAAGAACACAAAAACCAATGTTTTTCAGCACAATGAAAGGTAAAATTTTTATTATTAATTACAGCTGTTAACAGTTGTAGCTGAGTATATGCTAATCTAACACTGTAAGTACTAGCCCAGATGATAGAAACTGTGTTACCAAAACTAATTGGCTGTAATTAATAATAACGATTTTACCTTTCATTGTGCCAAAAAGTGTTGGTTTTTGTGTTTTTTACTCTTAAATAACATGTTTTCACTATAATAAATTATGTACATCAGAATTTTTGTTTTTTTTAAGAAAAAATACCAAAGATCAGCGAATAGGGGGTGTGTTCATGCATTCTGCTGCTCATCTGAAGGTAGTCCATTTAAACTATTGTGCTAATCATCCTAAAGCTGTTACTGTGATTGAAAAACATAAGTAAGTTGTCTAGTCTGTTCCTTAGTATAAGTAATGATTACGTTTTTTTAAGTTTCGTATTTGGTATTTAATAGATATTAATATAGTGTCTGAGTATGTAAATTTGATGCATGTTATTGGTTTGTATTATTGCAATAGTTTGAAACTTGAGATAAACTTTGTACAGATTATGTAGCTTCTAAAAAATAAAATGTTATTTTTACATAGGTTACCTATATGAAGTTGCAGGTTTGAAAATTCGAAAATATTTCATTGCGATATGTTTTTAAAAGATAGTTAAAAATGTGTACATTTATTGTACATTTCAGATACTGATTTTTGTCTTCCTACATTTGTTATAAGACTTAATTAAGTTTTTGTTTTGTAAAACTATAAATTTCATCTTTATTTTGATTTAGAAAACACAATGCAGTTTCACTGTGTTTACCATATCACAGTTATTAGCAAGTGACCTTATTTCATTTTAGTTGTTAATCAGAGGTTTCATTTAGCATATGTAATAAGTTTTAAAGCTGTTTTCTATTCATGTATATATATGTTTTACATTTATCTTTGATTTTCTTAGCACATTCAAGCTGTTACTTTTGCTGATAAGGTATAATGTAAATACTAACCAACAAACGTTGACCTTTTCTGTGAAATGAAATTTGATACAGTTGAGAGCAAAGTGATCTAGACTAACTAATTCCATTCTTATACTACAATGTCATAATGTAAGTTACATTTAAAATGATAAAGCAAGCTTCATAAAACAGTCAGGACTGCAATGGTGGTGAAAGTTTTTTTTTTTAAGCAACATATATCTAAGCTAAGCTTTTATCACTTTGTTCCAATCACTGTGCAAGTCTGCTGAACAAGAAGCCATATTGATTTGTACAGTTGGAAGAAAAGAGAAAGAGTTTAGATCAATAGCATTTGTCTTCTCAAAGCTGAGATATAGGCAGTTACATCATGTCCTGACATCTATGGATGTGAAACATTGGTCTGCCAAAATCAATAAAACTACACTTCTACTGAAGGTGAAAAGTGCTCCATTTGGTTACAGCCTATTTTGACTTTCCTTCTAGTGGGTTATTATTGTTGTTTTATTAACAGAAAAACTTCAGGAAATTCACAGACACTAATATTTTTGTTTCATTCTCACTGAAATTAACTCGTTCGAGCAATTACTTAATCTGTTATGGTATAATGTAAACAAGGTGTAATACATTGACTCGTTAGAGAAATGAAACTTAATATGGTCAAGTACATAATGATTTAACTAAACCTTCCTCATGTTATTGTACAAAAAACATTTTCTATTTTATTTAATCATAATAGGTCAAATGACGTAGTACAAAATGATAAAGCATGGTTTTTGCAAGTTTAAAAAAATCAGTACTGTAATTGTAATGAATGCTATTCAGAAAATGTATTTTCTTTCAGTACTGTATCGCAGGATAAGCTTTTATCACTATTCTAATCTCTACACAATTTTCACTGACTTGAAAACCCTTTTTGGCTTTCAGAGCTGAAAAGAACAGAAAAGGAGCTTTTGTGATATGTTCAGATCAGTGGCCTATGGCTTCTTAAAGCTGAGATATAGGCAATTACATCACACAATGACAACTGAGATTGAGAAACTGATTGGCTAAAAATTGATAAAAGTACCATTTTATTCAAGTTTACAAGGACAAATTAGTATTTTGTGTTCAAAACAGTTTGATTGTCCTCCCAGGGGGCTATGAGTGTTATATTATGCTCAGAAACAAAATCAAGAAACTCGCAAACAAATGATTTCATTGTATGCTGAAATCAACCCAAAATCAAAATTTACAATTTATTTTTATACATTTTATTGAATAAATTTTAACTCTGGAAGTATTTTTTTAATATGTGGAAAAGCAACTATAGTTTTATTTTCTATAATTTTTTGAATTCAATTGTGCAGTTTTGCCCTAGAGGCAGACAGCACCAATCTTGGCATGAAAAAGTTAAAATAAGGAATTATATGTTCTGATTTTTTTCTAATATCCATTGATAATATTCAATGCATAATTAAAGAACAGGATCTTGTGTGCAGAAAAATTTATTTAGGGAAGGGAAGAAAAATGGTAAATGGAATTAAAACTTCATTTAAATTGCAAAGGAAGTTTTTGGCTTTGAATAAAATATTCATCATGATCTTGAAAGAAAACATTTTTTCATGCTTGAGCAAAAACTTTGTTGCACTTTGATGGCATACAAATACCACTATACATATGATACAGTGAGGTAGTGAAATTTAATATCATATTACCTCTGTATGCCTTTGCAGCTCCTGTAGTAATGCAGGGTATTTTTCTAACCTTCTGAATGGCTGGCTAAGCCCAGATGTCAACAGCAGGATTCCAGCGGCTGAGGAACCATGTTCCTCCATGAACCTACATAACTCATCTCTGAAAGATTAAATCATTAGTGATCACTATTATGTGAACTTGTGGTAGAAATGCTTAAACCACTTGTAAACTTTGTATTGGAGATTAAAAGCTGAAAATTGAGTCAACACAAACATATGTGTATACAATCAGTGATTTTAATAAATCAATTTAACCCTATTACAATGGGTATCCTTTACTGCACATGACACAAAGTTTTAGTGTCTTACATTAAAAATTTTATTAAACTACTTTTTGTTTATGTTATACCAATTAGTATAGCATAAAATATTAGCTAATAATCCATGTTTTAATGGTATATAAGTTTTAAGTTCTTAATTCTCTAAGGCAATATTTTAAAAAAATCTTGAATTTCCCCTAGTGTAACACATTTTCTCTAGGTATCTTCACTCTATTTTATTCACCACACCTCCAAAATGTACGAAATTAAGCGTAAATTACTCACTATAAAATTGTCATTTTTACATGTTTACATAGTCAAGGAAAATTAGAAGGGAGGTATAATGAAATAATTGTTTACTAAAACACTTCAGTTAAACTTGAAAAATTAGTGCTTTGTGTGTTTTTCTGCTCAATTCTATATATTTTTTTAGTTGTTTCGTGACTCAAATGGATGGCCTCATTTGATTTGACCATTGTTTCAAGGATTAATAATTATTTATAATTTCACTTTGTATTGATTTTTTAAGGAGCCATGAAATTTCTGATAATATTCAAGAGACAAGTCATAGATTCTGATAATGTTCTAACATCTTTTATATTGTAGAATACTCCAAATTTGTTTGCCTAAACTAATGTTTACATGTATCTTGTCAACTTTAAGCACCCAATTTAGACTAAACTTTGAAGTTAATATGTACTTTAACAAGTTATATTATAACTTATGCCTCATGAAATGTATCTTGGCTAATCTTTTACAAAACTTTTTGATTGTTTGTTGAATTTTGTAAGATCAGGGTTAAAATGGATTTTTACAAAATCATTGAAATGTAATTTCTTAAGCAGAAACTTCGATGAATCAGTGTCTATGTGACGATTAGAAACTGTATAATCACATTGTATAACTTCTTACTACATGTAATTATTCTTTAGTGGAACATGGTATTTTTATAAGATAAATAGAAGTTATGTAAATGCTGTTTATAAAGATATACTTTTCAGTTTGTTAATTTGAAGCAAATCTACCAAAAAATGCTGCAGTCACAAATTTTTATTTTTAGAGGATTTATATGATTTTTCAGTGTTTTTAATATTTTAAATAGTTAAGTGAAAAGGTATAATTTTTAAGTTAAGTGTTGTTATAGCTGGTTTGAAATTTTACATCTTGGTTTCTCATTTATTATCTTTTCACACTGCTTTAAGTTGAGACATAAACATGAACTAAATATTTCAAGAGGAATACATACTTTATTTCAGTTTTATTTTAGTGTAAATTTGCCCAGGGTACAGAAGAACTTTAATGTTTGTAAAAAATTATTTGGATGAGAAAAAGAACTTGTGTGTAACTTAACATAGTGCTCTTTTATCTGTGAATCAGAATGTCAAACTGTATTTTTGAAAATAATATGTTACCTATAGACATTTCATGACCCTTTCTGAGCCTTTTAAAAGTTTTCAATTCCAAGTTATTCATCTCTAAATGGTAATTTGTTTTTTACTTTTGAGCTATGATATTCACTTTAAAAGTGTCTCTTTTGATAGGAAAGTCATGTTGATAGAGGAGATGCCCAGCGAGCCATATCAGTTTACAAAGAAATAGCTGTAAGTGTTTGCTACAAGCAAGTGATATTGTAAATGTAAATATGAAACTAAATGCAAATGCCTGGATCAAATTTGTAATGCCTAAATGTCTTGTTTTTTATTTATAAATAAATTCTGTACAAAATTTACTTTCATAAATGTAATAAAAGTTGCACATAACAAGGTATACAAAAATAAAATATTTATTTCCAGTAACCACTGTGGTTTGTCTTAAAAATAGGCTGTAATTTGACTAAAGTTTTAACAATTTTAAGGGATTGTTATTTTTCATTATCATAATTTTTATAGTAGCAGCATAATCATTTTTAAATTTCCTTTGAATAATTTTCAGTTTCACTGGAAATTCATCATTTTAAAATACAGACTTGAAAGATTTTTTGAGAGCTGCATTCTCATTTTATTTTGTAAGGTATATTAACCCTATCGCCCCGGGTATCCTTTACTGCGCATGACACAAGATTTTAGTGTCTTACATTCAAAATTTTATTAAACTACTTTTTGTTTACATTACACCAATTAGAATAGCATTAAATCTTAGGTAATATTTTAACAGTATAAAAGTTTTAAGTTCTTAATTTTACAAAGCAATATTTTAAAAAAATCTTGAATTTCCCCTAGTGTGACACATTTTCTCTAGGTATCTTCTCTCTATTTTATTCACCACCCCTCCAAAACGTACGAAATTAAGCGTAAATTACTCACAATAAAATTGTCATTGCTCAAACAAACCATGATATTTATAGCCTTCAATTTTGTTTGGTTACAGAGCTATCAAATAAAAAATCAGACTCCTTCTGCCACACCCACCTGTCACATTCTCTCTTTCACAATTTGTTGATAGTTCTCTCTTACGTTTAATTATATATTACCTATAATCAATAGAAAGTCAAGGTTTTCATGTATCAAATGACATATTGTATAATGATAAGCATCAATTTCACTCGGAGTACAAGCTTCATTCCCATGGGAAAGTTAACCACTAGCTTGGATGAATTGGTATTGGCTCTTGTCGTATAGTTAGAAAGCCAGAAAAATTTTTAGAGTTAGGGGAAATTGTCTACTTTTTGCATGTTATTAGTCTATATTCTAAAATCTAAAAATATGTATGTTTTAAGGTATTTAAGACTAGATTAGGTAAAATAAATAATAATAATATAATTAAAATGGTTCACAAGGCATGCACACAAGCAGCTCATGGGTAATGTAATTCAATAGCGTAACGTGAGCTGGACGTTCCCCGAGCAATTTACAACTTATAATGGCACAGATAGTAGTTAGACATGGTTCAAAGGGCAATAAAATAATAAAATTTAATTATAAATAGATGTATACTGTTACGAACTTAGAACCGCTTAGGATAAACGAATGTAGTTTCATGTTACAATTTGAAGTCATTCTAGAAAGAAAAAACAGGTAATTTAGGTATATTTCGATTTGTTTTTGGTTACGAGGTCGGTTGAATTAACCAATCCCGTTTTGAGATAGGATAAAGAAAATAACAGATAAACTATAAAGTTTTATTAAAAAAAACGTTTGAAATGCATTTAGTAGGTTTTAGGGAATACACAAAGGAAATTTGAGATGAGGAAAAGTATTTTTAATTTTAATACGCAAATTACTTAGCACACAGACTATTCAAAACAAATACTCAATATATTCATGGACAAATCTTTATTCTATTTTATTAAATATACTTCACTAAAAAATATGATTTTTTGTATGTGAATGACTTATAATATGAACTAAAAGACTGCCAAATTTTCTGAAGATATACATACTATATTGAAAGTTAGAAGTATTAAATCTATAAAGACTTTAATCGAGTACAAAGAGGTCACATGTTTGGCCAAATTGACTGAGCATTGTTGAGAGAGTTAAATAAATCAATTAAATTATGAGGTAGTCTTGGCTCTATGGTACCTGAATGTATCTTTGTTTTTCATTACTGTTTGTGTAAGAATGTTCTTATATTTCGTGAAATTAAGTGTTAAATGCTTTTATGTGAAAGTATATTGCACTTATCTGTGCATTAAAATAATTTTTCTTGGTTTGAATTTTTCATTACAACTCACCTAATTACCCTTAAGCATAATAAAGGTTCTTGAAAAATGTATCTATGAAATTTGTCTATAAAGGTATCACAAACTGGCACAACTTTAAAAAAATTATAAATTTGTACCTCTGAAAGTTCAAAATTATTCTCTGAAGTATACTAATAATCTGATATGAAATATAAATAAGAATAAGTAAAAAAACTGCCTTCAAAAATAGTTCCATTTTTCAAATGGAACTGTTCATACTGTGAAATACAAAAAAATATTTGTGGTACAGTTTTGAACAATTTTCTGTAGAGTAGTGTTCAATGAAATGTAACTGTCTTTTATTTTTTATAAGGATTCCTGTTTAGCCATGAGAAGACAGAAAAAAATGGAGCTAGAGGTATTGTTAGGAAATATTCGAGGATGGAAAGAAGTAAGTGCATGTACAATGAAAGTACATCTTCAAATTAAAAATTTCTAATCAATTAAGATAATGTACAAAGTTTTAGGCATTATTGTCATGTTAGAATGTTAGTGCTTAGTATGAGGGGATGAGCCGGGAAATAAATGTCTAATGCACATTATGTATTTTTTGTCATTGTCTCAAATCTCTTATAACAATCTAAGAGACTTATAAACACCTAAGTTAGGTTTATGAGGAATTCAAAAGCTATTAAGAGCTTCAGTTACCCAAAAACATTGCTAAAGTAGAGTACTGGTGAGTGGCGTAACAGTCAAAAGTTTTGATGATTATTCTGATTCTCACATCAGAAGGGCTAGCTCACTGATGCTTGAAGTTAGTGTGATGTTTTACATATCAAAATGTTGCATTTTAATATGTGGAGTGCAAGAGCACTCATCAGTCCAGGCTGAAACTGCTGCCTTCATAGTGACTGCCATTCATTAAAAGACATTCACTGGTTTTGTTTAAAAAAGAGGGGAACAAGTAATAAAAAAAGTACAGAAACAAGGTAGGGTGAATGCACAAAGCCACACAAAAATTGCTGCATAAGTAGCCACTGAGTCAGTGTTACAATCTTGTGAGAATTAGCCATTGTCAGACTTTATAACATTATTCAGTTTAAATGCTTTTATTCAAACTTGAATTCATGCAAATGAAAGGAATGCAACATTTAGTTGTAAATAAAAGTTTTCTTGGAAAGATTTGGCTACTTATGTAGGGATTTTTGTATGGTTTTGTGTATTCATTCCTACCTTGTGTCTGTGCTTTTTAGCATTGTCATCCCTACATCATCCTTATTTTTGTTTTAGATTATCTAGTCTTCTGAAATAATTGTTAATGATTGTTTGTTGATTTCTTATTTCCTTTCTTTGAATTTATTTTTGCTAAATATTTGGATGTTTTCATGCATATGAAACTTCTATTTTTTTTTGTTAGAATTCTATTTTGTTTGTAAATTTTCCTTAAAGACCCTCTCACTACAGGCAACCTTTTCTGCACATGTCAAGAGGTTTTACTGAGTTACATTCAAAATTTAAACTACTTTCTTATCATGGTATGCAAATAAACTTAGCATAAAACCATAGCTGATAATCCAAATTTTATTATACAAGTTTTAAGTTTTTAATTTTATAAGGCAACATTGAAAAAAAAACCTGAATTTCTCCTAGTATGAGATTTGTGACATTTTCTCCGTATGGCAAGAGAGGTCTAATTTTCTATTTCATGGCTCTGTAAACAAATATGCTTTGCCTGAATAATGACAACATTATAATGAATAATTTACATTAAATTTTGTACTTTTCAGAAGGGTCACCTATCACATTCTCTTTTAGAAATTGCTAATAGTTCTCTCTGATGTTTAATATTATATTATTTATAACCAATAGACAGCCAAAGTTTTACTATATTAAAAGATATATTATATTACGTTGTTTGTCTATTTCATTCCCAGTTCAATCTTTATTCGCACAGGAAATGCAACAACGAGTTTAGCTAAATTTTTAACGGCTCTGGACGCATAGTTAGAAAGCCATTAAATTTGTGATAATTATAAGTTACTGTCTGCTTTTTGCATATTATTATTCTGTGTTCTTTGGTGCAGCATTAAATAAAAAAATATTTAGTGCAGTTAGTACCATTAGTTTAAAAAGTAGGGTTAAGTTTCATCGACAGTCAACAGCAAAAAAAGAAGACCTAGGTAAGTACTATATTTTTTGTTTTTCATGTGTCCTTTATTTATTATTATAAATGTAACTAAAATGAAAAATTAGAAGCTTTTTAGGTTAGATTAGTTAAAATAAAGAATAATAATACTTTTACTAGGGAAAGTTTAAAATTTATTTAGGAAGTTTCAGAGATTATGTAAATTAAACTTGAGATTTTTTTAGATGATGAAAATTTTTAATCTTATTATAAAATCACCGTGCACTTGGAGTAGGCAACACTCTGACTACATATATTCATGGAGAAATATTTAGCGAAAATACTTCATTAAAAATTCAGATTTTTGGCTACAAATGACTCTTAATGCTTACTGATAGCTTGCGAAATTTTGTGAAGATACATAAAGCATATTAGAAGATAAAGTATGAAAACTAAAGGTCAATTTGGGATCAGTTTTTAAATCAAATCGATGAGCCTGTAGTGAGAGAGTTGATAATAATAATTGATACAGGAATTAACATACCTTTAATGAAGTAAACAGGATAATTATGGTTTGTATAAATAGAAGAACTAAGAAATTGGTAACATTTAGAGCTTTATAAATATGACATTAAAAACTTGTATATTGGATTCTTAGTATATGTAAAATAAGATTTTACTGTTTAATTCCTATCTTTTCAAAAAGAGTTTGTCATTTTGTGTATTGTTATCATTCGTCATATATTTCTAACTTATACTTCTTATATATGTACTAAATGTGTAATGCATATTGTGTTTTCAGGATGTAAATAAATTAGGAGAAATCATCAACATGGGACCTGTAATTATTGTTACTGAAACTCAAGAACGTAAAGACAGATACTTTGTTCTTTTTCCTCGCACTCTAGTCATGCTGTCTGTGAGTTCACGTATGAGTGCCTTCAATTATGAAGTGAGTATTATTTCTTAAATCAGATTGAATGTGCATTCTTAATCATCTGGACATTACTTACCTCAGTTTATTTAATTGAAATAACATAAAATGAAAAACAATTGATTCTGGATATATCTTTCACTTTGATTTTATGTTTGTTTAAATAAAATTACAACAGTTTGTAACAACTTTAAAATGTATTGCATTCATATTTATTGTACTGAGATATAAGATGTAGCTATAGATATCGGATGTCAGTTTATTTCTAACCATGTCAATGCCATCTGTGTCCTACTTAAGAAAATCTTCTGTACGCTGTAAATGACAGATGACTGTATGCTATCATGGAATTACTATTACACACGTAATAAAACTAAGTTTGTGTGACAGTTTTATAAGAAATGTCTGATTGACATTTGTTTGCGTAAACATTTTTGTTAGGTGTTCGAGAGAATTGTTTAAGCTTTATTTTAGAATTTGTTATGTGGTGTGGTTGTGCAATGTTCTGTTGCATTCAAACTATAAAAATTGTTTTACATTGAAATTTTGGATCAATAGTTTTAAATTCAAAAGTATTTAAAACTGCCTAATTTGTATATAAATCTAATTTAATTTACTGGACTTAATAATAATTTAGTATTAGTCTTTTAACTACAGTAGTAGAGAAAGATCCTTTTAAGCTAGATTTATTGTTATTTACCAGGGGTATAAGGAATTAAAAATTTAAAAAACTTTTACATGTAGGATTTGGCTAGATTGCACATGCAAAAACCAAAAAGTGTTATTTTTACAGCTTTAAAAAATCTTTATTGAAGAACACAGTCAATAATTAATTATTAGAATTTTATTTAATTTTAACTTTGAATGAACTATGGTTGAAACTTAATAGTACACAAATATAAGCCTAAAAACTTTAAATCTGTATGTTTATATAACTAGATACAAACATAAATAATTTAGGTGCAAGGTAGTTCTTTATTCTTTTCAAATAGTCTTAAAAGTCTCAAGTATGATTTATGTATACAAATACAGACCTTTATATCCCACTCATAACAAAACTTGCATGCAAAGTCTGTATTGTCATATCTTCTTTATGTTATACATCTTTGTGGTGTATTTAAAATCTGTTGGTATAAAAGTTTCATATCATGTAAACACATCTTTAAATGAAACTACTACTGTAACTTGTTCTTATATTTACTTAAGAAAATAAGAGATTACTTTTTGAATACAATGTTAGTATGGTATGTAATAGAAAATGTGTTATTGATTGAATATTTTTACATCATCTTTAATGCTGCTAGATAATTTAAATGCAACAAAGAATTGTCTTTTTTTCTAGGGAAAAATTCCTCTTTCCGGTATTGATGTCAATAAACTTGAAGCTAGTGATGGATTTCAGAATGCATTTATAATCACAGGTAAATTAATTTTTCTTGATGTTCACACTTTTTTTTTGTTAAATATGGGCTCTGTTTTTTTAGTTTCTAACAGTAGGCCTATCATTAGAAATTAAAGTTCTGCATTGTTTTTACACTTGATAAGAAAAATATCAGACATTTTGAAATTTTTACATGTGACTGAATACCAGTTGGTAGAAAATGAGTCATGTTTAGAACTCTTTTTACCTGAACTAGCATAGAGGAACTTGTAATATGAATTCTATTTTGTTGGTTGTATTACATTTTTGGAAACTGTCTTCCAACCTAGATCTTGTTGTATTTGTAATAGGATATCAGTCAAAGCTAAATTTCTAAATAGTTAATGAAGTGAAATTTTTATTATGTTTTTGCCTCAGTGTATTTGTTTAGCATTCATTGAACATTAAATAAAATGAAAATAGTTTAAAGTTGAAAATTTTATCTTATAGTAACAGTCTGCTCACTTCTTGTTGGCTTATTAGTGTCTTCATAAATTTTTTAGTAATTTGTTTTTGACAGAAGTTGTATTTTTTTTTCTGGTAATAAAAGGGTTGAAATGATATAAATGTAACAGAAGATAACATTTTTGTTAAATAGTGAATGATGTAGTGCAAACTTCTTTTTCTTGCTTTAATACAAACATTTTCAATGTCTTCTATATGCACTTGCATATAACTTACTCTTGAATGTATGTTAGTTTGCTTGCTGTATCCTATGCCAATTTGATAAATCATTATAAACAAACTTGGATTATAATGATTCCTTGAAAAAATATTGTACTTGCTATTATTTTAATGTGTGTGGTGGTTCTTTCTGCATATTTATTTGTGAAATATGTGTACCTACTGTTTGCTCATAATATCTAAATTTTTAAAGTGACTCTTCAGCTTAGCAGAAGGAAGATGTTTCAAATGAAGTTAAGAAATGGTGTTTTAATATATTTAGGGAAAATGATCCAGAGGATAGTAGTAGTGTGCCACAGTGGAGATTCCCTGGAACATTGGGTACAGCTGTTACAACAACAGCTTTCTGTTTGTCAGCTCCCTGATGGAGTTGCTATTCCACGAAACTCATCTAGGGGCCCTCACACACATAGTAGTCCCTCTCATATTTCTCAACTTCATATCACAATATCTCAGGGTCAAGCGTGTCATTCACTCCCTTCTCAGCCTCCTCCTCTACCACATGTAAGTATTCAAGTAATCACTTTATTACAGTTGAAAGAATTTGTTGTCATTTAGTTTTAGTTTTGTCCTTTATATGGTCTTTTATATTACTTCTGTGCAATTACTTGTGGAGATATAAGTTTCAGAGGCTTGGTTATGATTATCAATACATTTATATGTAAGTTAGAAAACAAAAGCTTCTGGGCAATAGTAAAATAATTCTATAATAATTAAGCATAATTTCTAATTATTATGGTAAGCTAAAAAATGTACTTTTGTTTGTTGTTAACTTTGACATTTGCAGTTCATTGATTTACTATGAGCCTGTTTTGTTATGTAACCTGATACCTAATTTCTAGTTGTTTTTGGTAAAACATATTTAACAATAAATAAACAATATACATAAAAAGCAAGAAATTTTGGTGGAAGATTAGAGGAGAAACCTATGTCATTAACTTGAACTTGACATCTTAAAACCCGTAGTTAAGATACGTGTTGCCAAAATTATTTCAATGCTTTCATTTTTTTTTTTAAATAAATAAATACAGCAAACTTTAGCTGTAAAACATGTGCCTTTTTCTTATGCATATGACTTCACTCAAACCAGATTTTGATTCTTGTTTATTAAATTTTCATCCTTATTGTTTTCCCAGGAATGCATAACTAGAATTTTTCAGTACAAAGCACAGTGATGTCATAGCTAGCTTGAAAATACCATTTCCTAGTTTGCTTTTCCACCACATTTTATCCAGTATTTTTACTCTGCTGAATTTTTGTCTTTTATCTTCATATTGAGATATTGTTTGAGTCGTAGTACATAACTGTTTTAATCAAAGATTCATGTTAGTATTTTGTTTAATTGTTCACTTTCAAGTGCTTAGATCTGCCTTTTTGGATAACATGGATCATTTTTTGACCTTGTAAGATGTGTAATCAAGCTTCAGATTCCATAACTGGCAATTAATATCCAGTTTTCTTAAATTGACTTCTCATTTCTGATGGGCAGTTTTGTTTTTGATGATAAAACATTTATTTCAACTGAACATTTCCATCTGTGAACAGTTTTTAATCTTACTTTTAGAAAATTTAGGATTTAGAACCACACATTATTGTGAAAATGTGTTATCTGTATGTGTCAAATCTTTGTGTTCAAATATTCAACTTAGTCCCTCACTTTATCTTAGTTTTCTTTTCCACCCATGTGTAACTATGCCTTAACCCGACTTAGGCCATGTTATTGACTAAAGTAATTAAGTTTTGGACTTAGTCACAGTAGTCATGAACATTCATATTTTTTACAATTTGATACTCCTAACATTATAAAATTGTAAATTTTAGTTTATTTCTCCCATTATTTCACAAGTGGCTGAACAATAAAATTCACAATTATAGCTGGGTGATTTAATCAATTACATATGGGCAGCCATTATATTGATTAATGTTATGTAAACTAATTAATTGAAATGAGTATTTTTGACTAATATTCTTTTTGATTATTCTAACAGTCAATATTTCTTCCTTTGTTTTTGAATTATGGCAAAGCTACTAAGGCCTAATTTATCCAAAAATTAGTAGGATTGACTGAATCATTATAATGACCTTATGAATGAAAGAGTGAACATGTTTGGTGCCATTGGGTAATGAATCCATGACCCTCATTTCAAAAGGCAAACATGCCAGCCGGAGGCGTGATAATGTGATTGTCAATCCTATTCATTGGAAAAGAGCAGTCAACAAATTACCAGTGGCTGCTGCCAGCCTATAACCTTTTCTCTGATTGAAAGATCAAAATTAGGGACAGTAGCAGATAGTCTTAGTAGCTTTGCCATAACTCAAACATACTTGTTCATTTTCATATGCATACAAGTAAAAATCGCACTTGACAAAATTGTTCGTACTTTTGTTGACACAACTGCATGCACTGGTATGCATGCATTACATTTGTACACAATCAACAAATATGAGGGTGTGGTATAATGGCCATTGGCAAGATAACTAGCCATAGTAATATTTGTTTTTCTTTTTGTTTTGCATTTTCCTTGTTTGTATTAAACAGTAGTGTACCTTTATTGTAACATATTGCTTACCTATTGCAGTATTACTAAAGATTTCTTTATTAAATAAAAGTTATAGTAAGTTAACATTCTGTCAACAACGTCTGTTCGTTGGACTGATTCCATTCCTTTGATGTTGTACATAGTAATGTTTATTATAATTGAATGTGTGAAGTATATCATCATGAAATTTGGAAATTGTTTATTAAATAATTACAAATCTGTTGTATATGAAAGAGCAAATTTTTAATAAAATATTTATACTAAAGATTTGTCTGTGAATTTATAATGAATTTGCTAACTCATTCTGAGTTAAAGGAAATTTTCATGACAAGAATTAAAATACTTCTTTTCATCTTACAGTTTCGTATTTTATTTGCTTAACTTCTAGAATATACTATAAGAATATAAAATGTTTTTTTCTGGTAAAACTATACTTAATCTCTTTATTTTCTCTACCTTAACACTAACCATTGTGAGACCATTAATATAAAGATGAGGAAAATGGAAAAATGTGAAATAAAATCAATAACACTTTTATTTTCAATAATGAATACAGATTGTAAAAGACAATTACAGCTATTTATCCAAACAGTCTTAGTTTTCTAATATTTTCACATATCTGTTTGCTTTTAATTTTTTATTTTAAAATGCTCTTTAGACCATATCTGAGTGTGTGACAGGCAATTACCCACAGTGGGAGAACTTAATGTAAAGGACTAATTGAGTTAGTCATGTGAATGCAGTAAGCTCAGGCTGGTCTTGTGAAATTGTTTTCCTCTGTTTTTTGTTATGTAACCTGATATCTAATTTTCTGTTGTTTTTGATAAAATATACGCAACAATAAATAAAAGATATACATAAAAAGCAAGAAATTTTGGTATTGGTTTAGAGGTGAAACCTACTTCTTTAACTTGAACTTGAGATTGTACACTAGTTTTTTCATACTATGTTGGTTTTCCACAAAATCATTAATGTTTCTTTAAGATATGCATTTTAGGACACAAAAAATATATCAAGTACTAGACTAGAATGTTCCAAAAGTACTTTAACTTAATTTGCTTTCTAACTAAGGTATACATTGGTTGAAAAGCGATTGTTAGCTGCTCAGAGTGGAACAACACGATCACAAACAATCAAGCCAAGGCTAAATATATACATGTGGGCACCAAAATGAAATAACCATATAAAGAATTATTAACATTTTTTATATCTCAGTAAGCATGAAGATTGTAGGTTCTACGTTGATATTTTGACATGTAAATATCTAAAATATGTGTTTATAGTTAGTTGAACAATCAGAAAATTATATGAGCATATAAATAAAATCTAAAATGGGCAGTTCAGAACACATATGCATCATGTGACATAGAGAAGTGAAGATTGAGAATTTATTTAAATATTTATTTACCAACAACTTCTTGATTAAAAGCTTGATGTTTTTTGAACTTACAATGTTGATAATTATTTTTTAAGTTTTTCACTTTGGAGATGGAATTAGAAAAATAAAAATCTGAAATGACTGAAATTTTTAAAACGATTTTGATATTGCTGTGGTTGTACCATTTGTTGCATTATTTTGACTTCTGCCTCATGAATCATTTTAATCTCTGCAAAGAGATAATCTAGTATCATCACAAGTTTTCTTGCCAAATAATAAACCTTGTACAGTCTTTGTTTTGTATGATGTATATAATATGCAACATGTGGGACGAACTTCTAATCATCTACATAGTTGCATGAATCAGCATAGATCTCAAAGTAAAAATTATGTGGTAAATATGGTCGAATTAGAACATTTTGGAATTCATCCCTTCAATAGTAATTACACTTTTAGAAATTGTTAATACAGAAACAAACTGATTACAAAAAGAAAATGTTGACATTCTTAAATACAAAACTTTATATCCTTATGATTTGAATCAAGATTATAATGATACTACTGCAATAAGTTTAAGTAATAATAATCGCATTGGTAATTTCTTTTGTTTAGATAGTAGTAACAAGAAGTGTACAAAAAGAAAAACTAGAGGAAAAGGTAGAAATAAAATAAAAAGGGTTAACTTTATTGATTTTTGTGCAGATTTAGATAATAAGTTTATATATTCTTGCTAAGATTCGTAGTTATTTCCACGAGAATGTATATATGCTAAACATTTCAAGGTTAAAAATATTAGCGAAAACTGTAATGAAATTTAATTTTCAAAATAATCATGCTAAACACTTAATTTCTGATATTATAAAATTTAGGCTTAAGGTAAATAAGTGATATAATTAAAGAATTGACAATAAGAAAATCATCATATGAAGTAATTAATTTTAAACATAAAATTGTTAATGATTTACAAATTTTTAAAACTTTGCATGATTCTGTAGTACAAATTTTTTTCTTTAAAATAATTAAAACCTATCATCAGTTTTAAATATGAATTCTGATACGATATCTTACCTCTACTCACAAAAAACTTTCTTGGCTTATACTGCCCTCTATTGGTGCAAATTTTTGCTTGCCACTAGCCTTGATACTCGCACTTATCTCTGCATACTAACATGTAAATGATTATACAGCAATTTTATACTAATAGGAGTGCAACACTACCTCTATTGTAATTAGCACCCTCTCTAATCTTGCAACTGTTAACCACTTCTTGATTGGCAGTCTTATTGAATAGACATGTTTTTGCTTGTGGTTTTGATTCACTTATCCAGAAGTTTTTACCTTCTTAATTTTTCTACTTCAGTTACATTATTCTTTAACCTTTTTGTTCTCTTTTGTGGAGTGTTATGAATTATTTTATTTATCTTCTCTCCTCTTTCAGTTGCATGAGTTATGCCCTCAAAGTTTTGGTTGGTCACGACTATAAATAACTGCTGTTACTGCTGCAGCGGAATTACAAACCACGTCCAACAGGTCACGCCCATGATTCTCAGCCTATGAAGTGTCAGCTCTGGTTGGTTGGGAGTTGA